CAACTAACTGCTTCTCCAGTGGATTTCCAGTGAGTTGGATGTACTCCAACTGTACCAACTGGGACTGCAGGTCCCCTTTAGCCCTAGATAGATCTCCGATTTGAATTAGAGAGATGTTCAATGTCACTAACCGTTCTCTAAGATGGTGCAGATATACTGATTATGCTGTTTAGTTATTTATTTCCCACAAAGCACTTGAAAAATCAATTATTTGCCACAAAAACAGACAAAAAGTGTGTGGGCTGAGGTATTATCATGGCACAATGCGATTCCATTAAGTTGATAAATAAAAAGGGAAGCTTTTATTTTGGCAAAGCTGTGCCGCTCCAGTGAGATTTGTGTGTGGGCTGATGAACAGTGTGTGTGTGTGTGTGTGTATTGTCTTGGCCCAGGCACTGTACAAGCCGATGTCCTTCCACTTGAACAAATATGTGGTTTACTAGGACAAACAGAGCTAACTATAGCATCAGGCTTAAAGGCACCACATACTGTACCTCAGGGAGACCTGATACTCACAAAGCAGCATTTAAAAATGTGCACAAAGCAAATCGGTGGCCGTACTGCAGCTTTTGATATATGATATTTATACAGAAGACCATCTCACCTGTCTCCGTGCTCGACTCTTTCTTCTCCACCGCCCGGGGTTTGACTTCAAACATATCCCGTCTTTGGAAAGGGGGAGTGGGGAGGGGAGGCTCTCCCACTCGTGAAAAGACAAAGCTGGACAGAACACAGGAGCTGCTACTGGCATGACATCACATCCTGTTCCTGTGCTGACAGGGCGGTGTGCCCACACACACCGCTACCTGAAACAGAAGAGACAAGTGTTAGTGGTCTCACAGATAAAGACATGTGACCTCTGCAGAGGCTGAATGAGGGGCAATATACATGTCCAGGTAACGTGTGCAGCTGGTAATAAAGCAGACTGACTCATTTCCTTCTTATGCTCTCCTTCACACCTGTTTTATAAGATTTAGAGCCACCCACAGTGTTTGATTTTTGAACCACAGATATCATTTTCTGGGAAGGACAAATCTAAAATAAATGCTAAAATGCTAACGCTAAAAGATTTCTTCTACTTCTACTAAACAAACTAAAGGTGAGGCTCTGAGATTTTGAAGAAATGTTGTGACAATAACTCCACATACAGTTTTTAGGGAGGGGTGACATTGAGCCAGCCCACATCCTGTTGCCTGTCTCTGTATGAACTCTTCCACGGCTAAAAGGGATGACCGAAGGTAGGGCTGTTCCATATAACCATATATATCGGATAACGATATAAAAAAAAGTCTATCGTTTCATTTTAC